TACATTACTGTAGTAAATATATTGACTGCTGAGTTAGTTTTGTGGAACTCACATATTTTTTGAGGAAAATAGTGAGTGTAAGTTTAAGATCGAGTTTTTATGGCTCCCGCTCCTGCTAGACTCTTCCTCATTACAGATCGTAGCAATGAACAATAACAGCCGTCACATTTTCTAGATTTTGTTGCAAAATTGATCAAGTTATAGTTTTGAAAAATAATGAATATTACTATTTGTGAGCTGATTAATATAAATAATAGTGCTTGAGACCTGCTGTAGATATCATGAATATGTAAAACAGACGTATTTGTCAATTAATTCAATGATTATAATAATAAGAATATTAAATTAAGAAAAAATGAATTTTAAAAACTGAAAATTCTTTTCGAAATGCAGAAATTAGAGAAGTCATTACTCTGAACATCAATTATTCTGCAAAGCAGCTATAGTCTACGAGAGATGTGTCACTTTATGTATTATGTATTAGTTTAATTAGGCTAGAGAGGATATATGAGTTCTACATTTCAACCACAAAGGGGCTGCTCTAACAAGCTTTTTCATGAAACAAAAGTAACAAAAATACCTTTGATGGAGTCAGGAATCTTGACACTCCCATTGTTGCAAGCATATTTTCATTTTCAGGCGTTAACACAGGACTTTTTGTTACTTTCAATCGCTTGGTTTCAAATTTCAGACACCTTGAAACTCGGGAACGCGATACTAATACTTTGATCAGACTATAGATAATGCTATAAGAATATTTAGCTGAGCAAAGCGAGTGCGCAGAATGTTGATGATATCATGTGGATATAAAGCATATTTTTAACTTGCTCAGAGTATGCAATTTCTGTAGGGGTTACCGAATATGGGAATCTACATTTCCAACTCTTGAACAATAATGGTTCGTTTCATTCCACTCCTTAGTGTGCTGCCAGTGAATCATTTCCCATATCTAGTACTTCTAATATCCTATCTTCAATGCAACTCATCCTTTCAGTAGAGGGTAAGCAGCGTTTGCGCTGCCTTACTTGTTAAAAACCTAAGTCGGAATAAACTCTATGAGTGAAAACAAAATACTGGTATGCATATGAAGCTGTTCCAGAATGATTTGCAATGAATGTCAAAATTGTTCACTTACCACGGTCCTGTTGTCATGGTGACTTTTTTCTGTTTCAAAAGGAAACAAGCTTTGGACCTTATCTGATACTATTTAGTAGACCTCACCAATATTGTACATACAAAGATTTCTATTTCTTGATTTACTATCGCCTTTTACTTTGATTATCTTATACAAGTGCAAATCTATTACACACGCCTGTTCCATTTAACAGACCTCCAAGTGTAGTCGTCCTTTGAACGCCACCGAAGGAAAAATCAGATGAACTTGACGATGTACCATATTGATTACTGTTAATGTCCAATTAGTCGCCACGAGATGAGTCGATTGAACATGTGAAGTAGCCGGTCCAGTAAACGCAACATTATCATCCAACCAACTATTAATGACGATATATTCAGATGAAGTGAAGCCGATGATGACTATGTGTTAGCTCGCTTCGACGAGCTTACGTTTGTTTTTTTTTAAATGTATATATATATATCTTCCAAATGCCCTTAACAATATGTACATATATTTTACAAGATACAATAGCGAAGAAGAAGAAGAAAAAAAAGAAAAAGAATAACAATTCCAAAGAGAGAGAGAGGAGATGGATCGAGGCCTGTAACACTATGAAACACCAAGCACTAGACTAGATGCTGTTAGGTCGACTGTCGAAATGCGTAAACGTCGCACTTAAAACGTTTGTTGGACGAATCCAAATTGCAACTGAAAGCGGCTAGCTGTTCGTATTCAAGCGTCTTGGACTGGTAATTTGAATGTCCAAGAGTTAGAATTGTAGTGAATATTCCATCATACCAATAAAGAGGCTAAATCACTCGAGTTTTTCAACAAAACATTTTTATATTTACTTTTCTGATGGACTTTTTTTTTTAACATTCACTATTTAATTTAATGTTCAAATCGAATCGAAATGAATATTCCACCATAAAGATTAATCAGTAATCAATAGCAAGGTAATTCTGTTTTTGTGTAGAATTACGTGACAGAAATTCTTATCAAAATGAGTGCAAAAAATGTCAATTCGTTCTATCTGAAAAATATTACCATCGAATTATTATCTCTCTCGAATAAAGCCTAGAAAACAATAAAATCATCGAAATTTATGAATCTGTTATCAGAGAAAGTAATTTAACTCAAGTATTTTGCTTTTATGAGCAGATCATGGGATTTTTTTATTGTAGATAGTAAAATGAATTTATATATAAATCGACAAAATCGAACAAGCTTCAAGCAAATATTTACAACGATAGAACAGGTAAGTAATGTAATTACATTAAATGTGCATTTAAGAAATCATTTTATTTTCAGAACTGAGCAAAAAATGCCATCGATTCAACTAATTGTCTTGATCTTTTTTATTTCATCGGTAACATTTTTATTGATTAGAAGACAACTGAACATATCGTTTTCATTATATTTAGATTGCCGTTCAAGGACAATATAAATTTTCCAATTGTGGTTCGAATCCGAGTAATCACCATATCCAATTGAAGGATCTTCAAATAATACCTCATCCATTCAAGGTACCAGGTCCTGTTTTGTTCAGGCTTAATATTGATGTTAGTGAAGATATTGTTCATCCACTTCAGGTATTTTTAACTATGCACAATAATCGTTGTATTCTTCACTAAATTATAATTAGACTATATTCGATTTAAAAGCAACAGCTTTTCTTATCACTATTTCCATCCCGTGTGAAGATGGTGTTGGATCCTGTACGTATCCTGATTGGTGCGTGGCTTGCTCAACATGTTCCTGTCCAGTACTCGCTGTATGAATTTCTTTAGTTCTTTGAAATTTCATAAGAAATTTCTGTTGTTTCTTAAGGGTAACCAATTAATAGAAATACCAATGAATTTCACAGCAAGTATTCCTATCGGCTCAAAGGCAACAGTCACAGCTCAAATTGAATTTCGATCTGACACAGGTCAAACAGGTTGTGTCAGAATAACAGATATTGATGTGAGAAAATAAATTCTTTTACTTCAAATAAAAACGAATGTTTTTCGACACAAATTTGAAATAAAAACTCGGTGTTGAAATAATCATGAAGTGGTTTCATGAAAGATTTTACTTCTTGAATATATGATATAGATCTCTATATACACCATTGATAAAGGTACTAATATAGAGCAGAATCTTATACTATACAATTGATCTTATAAATGTTCACTATGGGAGCCGATTAAGAGAGCAACTTGCATAGCTATCATTATTGCAAATTTATAAAACATTAGAACTCACATCTAAGATCAAAAATTCACCATTTGGCTATCATCCATGTGTCTATGCATCATGAACTTTATCAGTGTCTAAAATTAACGGAATTCATCAGCATATATTTTTTAGAATTGCTTGTTCTGAAATAGGAGTTAGCGTACACTATCAGTTTTGTTGATAATAATATCGAGAAAGATGATGTATTTCCAATCTCATCAATCAACAAAGGGTGTGGGTGTGGGTGTGGGTATGGTTGTAGATAAAAAGAATGTGCACATCCCACGCATCCATACCCACACCCTCAATTGATTATTAATTATTGGAGTAAAGAGCGACACGATCAAGCAAAAATAGCAAGAATAAATACCTGAATATATGTTTGATCGTAAAAATGATCAAATTCATCGATATCATCATCAACACCATCGCGAACAACAACAGCAACAACATAAATAATAAAAATTTTCTTGTTATTTTATTATTTTTTTATTGTTACATTTTTTTGTTTGTTCTTTCTCTCTCGTTGTGATATTTTCTCTCGTATTGTTATATTTTTTTCTTTATTTCTAAGTGATATTCTGAACATGTTCTTTCACTAACTGGTGCAGTCACACTAGATATTTTTTTCTTTTTCTGAAGTTTTTCGTTGATGTTTTTTTATAAAAAAAAAGGACAAAAGTATTTTGTAAAACAAAAAATTTTTTGTAAGGGAAAGGGTGTTAGGAATGATATCTTTTTCTTATGTTTTTTTCTTTCTTGTCGCTTTGTTATCGTGATCTTTGTTCTCTTTTTCTTTCTTTTCGATATTATATAAGTGCGTGTACAACCACTGTATGATGACTATTTTTCTTAACAGAAATAAAAGAAAGATCAGCACATAGCTGAATCGAACTCTAAGTGCACATCATTAAACACTCTCTAACAAAGAATATACAGATAGTCCAATTAAGTGATTTGAATTTCGATTGATTGTAAGTGAAGAAAGAACCAGACATATCATACCAACAACTTTATAAGAAATATATAATTAATCATCAGTTCTTGTACGAGTAGCACGATGATATCTCGCTAACTGGGTTAACGACTTTTATTGTAGTTTTCAGTGAGAGAGAGAGAGAGGAAAAATATGAAGAAAAACATATCATTAAAAATAAATAAAGAAAAGAGAAAGAAGAGGTGCACGAAAAAGATAACGTCATTGATATCGATTATACACGTGCGCTATTTCTATCTGCTACACGTCACATATCAACTGCATTTACTAGCTAAAGATAGAGGACAGCTAAATAGAAGTGAAGAACAATATCAGACACATAAAATTATGGATGTAACTGAGGTAACTGTAGTATATCGTGTGTATCGCGTCCGATGGGTTCAACTGTTTATCTATTTCCTTGCAACATTTGCGAATACTTTGCATAGTGTGACATTTGTTCCGATCGAAGCGGAGACAGCTACCTTTTTCAAGATAACATCGACAGAAGTCAATACTCTGGCCATTGTCTTTCTCTTTCTTTACGTGCCTGGCACAGTTCTGTCAATATGGGTCTATCGAAGACTCTCGATGCGAAGCGGGATGATTATTGGAAGTTTACTAAACTTGGGTGTATGGATTCGTCTATTTGCTCTCATTTGGTCCAGTCACAGCTATCCGATTCTCATGCTCGGTCAATTTTTCCCAGCTATTACGGCACCTTTGTTTTTGAATTTGACCGCGCTATTCGCCGCTCGTTGGTTCGCTCCACAACAACGTGATATTGCCACAGCCATTGGTTCAATGGCCATGCCACTTGGTGGAGCCATCGGTGCTCTTCTACCATCCCTTATTGTTACCGATGGCATATCATCTCATTCATTTTTGATTCTGTTAACAATTGAAGCTGCTTTCACCACATTGACAATGCTCTTAGTTGTAGCCATATTTCGATCGGAGCCTCCATCGCCACCATCGCCTTCCGAGGAACATCACCAATCAATTAATGTCAAACAAGATCTAGGCCGTCTGTTCACCAATAGTCACTATCTTATTTTGTTATTCGGTTTCTCTTTTGGTTTCGCTGCTTTTCTTTCAATAACCACACTTGCCTATCAACTCATTCAACCAAGTGGATATTCGAGCGAAAATGCCGGTGTGTTCGGTGCCATGCTGATTACAGCAGGTCTCATTAGTTCCTATGCAGTGGGTATAATTATGGGTCGCACACATGCCTATAGATTGTTACTCAAGGTATTAGTAGTAGGTGCCTGTACATCGGTCTTTTATTTCATTGTCATTCTTCGACCAAATATGCTTTATCCACTGGGAGTTTCAATTGCTCTCTTGGGCTTCTTCCTGATGCCACTTTTACCAATCTCATTTGAGTGTGCAGTGGAATGCACTTATCCAGTGCGTGCCGAATGGTCTACTGGCCTACTTCTGTGTGTTGGTAATGCGCTCGGCGGTGGTTTTACTTTCCTTCTTGGCTATCTTATAAAACTCGCTCCTGTATATAAGCCCGGTGTCATATTCACACCTGCTTCCATATTTATCATTTGTATATTTGTCATTGGTGGTTTGGCACTGATCATATACAAAGGATCCTATTTGAGACTTGAAGCTGAACGCATGGCTGTTGCAAAATGTACTGTTAACACATCCGGCACGATTCGGTCTTAACAGAGAGTAGCTCTAACAGATTCATTCTCTTGTCCATTCATCTCTCAATAAATGCACTCCTTGACCTTTTTATTCTATGTTAGCTCGTAGTTTCCTCTTTTCTGTTCGTAACATCGTATAGGCAGTTCTTTTTCTCCACAAACTGGTTATTTTAAGCTCAAACTTGGTCCAAGACAAAAGATCAACAAGCTAAATGAAGTGCAAACTCGCTGATCCCAAGCTCGAAGAAAAGAAAGGATCTACGCGCAATGTCGGCAGACGTTGTACTGGCTGCTGTGCGAACGGAAGGGCATACCGCAATCAAGAGAAGTCAGCTATGCGACAGCAAAGAAAGTAAAAACCTTCTGTTCTAACTGTGATAAGTTCTTTTTGTCCTGATTGTTTTAATAACAAGCATCATGCTATGGAATAAAGGACTCAAATAAAGTACTGAATGCAGAACAGATGACACATTAATGTTTAATTTTCTATAGCAAAATAAAATGCTTTTCTATACAGTTTCGCGTTAAAATATAGAGTGGCCCACATCGTGTCCAATGTAAGGGGAAAACAGCTCACTTCATGACTCCAGGGTGTCAAGTAACTCCGAGACTGAGAGGGTGTGGGTGTGAGGTGTTCGAGCGGGTCTTCTTTCTATCTGCACTCACACCCACACCCTTTTTGTCGTTTTTCTACTTGAAGTCTGTCCAGTTTGATAGAGCTTACAGTGCTGAATCCAAATAGGATATTTTTTTTAAAATTAGACGGCTAATAGAGAACATCTGAAGCAATTTCTGAGAGCCCTAAAAACCAGTTGTTGACCTAAAGGTCTATAAAAATCCTATTTATGTTCGACGAAAATAGGCTCATTCGATGCAGAATTTTGTTTCTTTATCGGAATCAATAAAAATATCTAAGATATTCAAATCTTTTCCAATCGATAAATGCGAAATACCTCCCTTATTCCGTTATATTATTATAACTAATGATTTCTCTAGCCTTATGAAGTCATGGTTTATATGGGTGCATCAGGAAGATTTTTTTATTGAATAGATAATTCAATGGACTTTTTCTAATGGGGCCATTTTCCACTTGAAATTTCATGCCTAATAAAGCACTTTTGCTCTCACTATTATGGTCTTCGTACCTAATTTGTGTCAAATTTTAACTGATATTCGACGGCTGTCGAACAGAATAATCCATATTTGACTTCAAACAACTATCGTATTTGAAATCAGCACAAAAAACTAAGTCGTCCTATATATGTATCAAATTGTTTCTGAGACCTTTTTTTTTGGTTAAATTTTTATCGCTGTCCAAGGAGGGAACAGCGGACTTCTGAAGACTTCACGAGACTTCATGAGACTTTATGGGACTTCATGAGACTTCCAAGACTTCACAAGACTTCGTGGCTGAAGTCTCCGCTGTTTCCCTCTTGGTTCGATATAATGTACACTATACCAAACATGCACAACATAGGCGGTGTTAACAATGGCCTTCACATACATTCATATATTTCTATAGTCTAATCAAATGAAGATAGAAAATATTCAATAATCAAATAAAAAATTATTGATTTCAATGAGAAATTATTAGTATTTATCCAGGTTCTTGGCCTTCCCATGTTCCATATTTGTTTACACTACCGCAGTATTCATAGGAACCGGTTGTAGATTGCAGGCCAAAGAACAACATGAGTTACTGGAGTTTTTTGTCCTGTTCAAATCACGCGGTTTATTGTTTCTTTAGAAAGATGCCGTATTTGATTAATCTATTCGATGATATCACTAGATTTGACCATTGATTCTCACTCACTTGAAGACTGGACAAGAATCAGTAATTTTTTTTTATACAATAAATTTTTAAGACTATACATTCCTAATATCATTAGATATTAATACGTTGTTATGCCGTTCGAAATTCTCCATCAATTTTACTTTTCATCCAATCTTGAAATCAATAATGATCATTCAATCGTCATAGATTGCCAATTGATATAATAATTAAAATAGATTCTCATTTCGTTTTCCTTCTTCTCCCATTAAGCTATATATTTCATATAAAATTTTTTTTTTTGTCATTTAGATATGGCATCACCAACTGATCCTAAAGATCTTTCTAAATTACGTTCAGTTGCACCAATAAATAATGATCCTAATGCTTCACCAGCAACAATCTGGGATAAAAGAAAATATAATTTTTCTATATTAGTCGAAATATCAAAAAATAGACCAATATGTGAAACACTTTGTTTAAAAGAAGCACTTATTTTTGGTAAATAAAATTGAAAAATCTATTTAAAAAATAACGAAAAAAAAAAATATATATTTTTTTTCTTTCATATTTTCAAAGAATACCTGGTTCATTTATTTGTAGTATGGCTGCATTTCTTTTAACAACAAATCGTAATCGTGTATTTCAAGCTGCTATAATTTCTTTGCCAATTTTAAGTATGGGACGTTTTACACAATGTCGTGCAGCAAAATATCATGAACGTAAAGCAACAATACTTGTATCAAAAATGATACGTACTAAACTATTAACTGATGGTACAGCTAAACAAGCAGAATTTGAACGTTTATTTGCAAAATCTAAAGTCAAATTAGCTGAATTCGAACGTCAACTTGATGAAATTATACCTAAACAACAAACTAGAGAAACTTAAAATTCTTTTCTTTTTTTAAATCTTTATAACAGGAAAAAGAAAAATTCTATTTTCATTCTTCATATTTCTAGATTTATGGCATCACGAACAGTTCTTATTACCGGTAGTACGAGATATTTTCTTTTTTATCTTATTCACACTTATAGATAGAAAACTATGCTTGATTTCAAACAATTCGCTATTCAATTCTCTCTATAAAATCATACTTTGGCATTAAATTGATGAGAGAATCGAAGAATATTCAGCGTCTTCGATATGTACCGATTTTTAGAGGATGTTTTTCAAACAATTGCTATCTTGTTTTGAGTGGACGAGATACGGCATAGAAAACTTTATTCTGGCAATAGGTACAGTTCTTTGTTGTTATGCACAGTGAAGAACATTTACAAAAAAGAAAATTATGACACAGAAATGAGTTTGTCAATGACGAAGAAACCTCATCAACTGATGCTCTCTAGTTGTGCTCAAAGTGCGCAAAAATGAATCAGCTGCTGAAAATATTCCTTTATAGAAAATACCATAATACCATTTTTTATATTAACATGTCAGTTAATATCAAAAAGTCTCACATCACTTTCTATTTATAAGTAATGTATTTAAACTATACACTATTAATTTTTATATAATTATATGCTTACATAGCAGAAGTCATGTACTATATGTTCATACATGTAATATGAGAAAACCTTGAAAATAAAATTCAATGAATAAAAAGTAATTTGGGTACTAAAGAAAAAAAAGGAACAACTTGATATTGTTGTCATAAGATCTTAGTAGTTTCATCACACAAACTAAACTTGATCAACTGTCGACTAAATCTTTTTTTTAAAATGTGCTACAGTGGGCGTTGCAAGCGTATGTCATTTTCTTATTTGCGTCATCCTAATCTGCCAATAATAAGAGATTTCAATGAGTTAGGTGTAATGCAATTTAATTATTATCCTATGAATTTAATATTAACGTTATATATATTACTTAAAAACAAAAAGTGCTGCAAGCATTTTCGTGTTGACTGTAGAATAAAAATAGTATTGAATGAAACTGATTTATCTAATATTTCTTTTAATAATGATATTGATCATTTGAATAATATTTTTATTTTTATTTTTTTGCGTTTAGAACTGGAACGGCAATACCTATTGATGGTGGTTGGTCTGCACAATGATAACAACACATGATCTATTTCCATAGTTTTCTATACTTTTTTGTGATAGAATAAAAGATCAATTCATTTTAGTTAAGTCTTAGAAAGTCTTAAATATATCATTTTCTTGCTGTTGAATAAATTCATTTCATGATGTCAATCATTTGACAAAGTCATATATATTATTTATCGAATTTTTTGCATTTAAAATCTTATGTTTTAAATAGAATGATATTAAAAAATAGCTAATGGTTCATTATTATGAATATAAAAGCATAATATCTATTTCTTAATGATCTCTATTAACTGAGACATGTAAGAGTGCTCTTAAAAAGAAAGATTCATCTTTGTTTGATGTCTAATATTTCACAAGTTTTTTTTTTTGATTGTAAATTAACAACATGACCTACTTATGACAATCTAGGCCATTTTTTTTTTGTTTTTTAATACTTTACTAAAAGTTTAGGAAAATTCTTTGGTTAATTTAAATGATTTATTGAAGAATATTAAATTAAAGATAATATGGATGTAATTTTTGTTCGTTTTTTCTTGGCATGTTGCGTAAATACAATAATTACAAAATCCGGTTAAACATTATTATTTCATACTTGGAATTCTTTTTTGTCTTCCCACTATCTATTTTCTATAATGTGACAAACTTTTCTTTTTAGAATATGTCATAATGAATCTATATAAAAAGCTTATAATCATAATTATTGATATAATATACGTGTATAGATTAAATTTCATAGTTGGATCACTTGAATTAATAATAAATAGATTGGTTCAATGAGCAATGATGATTTTTGCTTGGAAAATTTTTTCAAGCAACTTTGTTTATCATACTTTAATAAGAACTATTTTTGTTGATAATCAAATAATAGATATAATAAAAAAGCAATATGACAAAAGCAAATTGTAACTTACAAGGCACGAAATATGAGTTACATGTGTCAAAGATAATTTATTTGAAAAGCAAGAAAAAAAACGAACTATTATGCATAACCATAAGAATAAAAATAAACCCTGAATAATAAATGATTTATTATTCTATTGTTTGAAAATATATTATTTCTCAATAGGAATAGTGAGTGATACTAATTTTGATGTATTGCTTTGTTTTTCAACTAATTTAACATGATTATAGTATCTATCAAATACTAAATATAAAAATAATTTTGATCACTTATTGACAAATCTAATTCATAGAAAGTGAAAGATCTAATCAAACAAAGTGTTGTTATGATTTTTGGAAGATAATTATGTTGTCATTTGTTATTTTTAATAATAATAAATTTTTATTTGAAAGTTGCATCAACTGAAAAAGCTGTCAGCTAGATAAATGCTTCTGTTGATTAATATGTTAAATTAACATTTCAAAGATAACACACTGTTTATGGATATTTTCTTTTCCTTCATTAGACATTTCTTTTAGTAATCCATGCGGAATAATAAGTAGGTGTTTTTCTCAAACAAAAAAAGTAGAACAAAATGTACTTCACATATTCTCAAAAAAAGAAAATAAATGTAAACCTTTAAAAGTAGTTCAAATTCTGAAATGTTTGCTATCGTTCTATAAATAAATTAACAAATGTATTTATTTGAATAAATGATATATATTCAATTAGAACTTAATAACTGGATAGCAAATGACAGAAACATATAATGGTTCAGGAACTATTTATAAAAGCTGTCCACATGTAAAGGCAGAATGTGTCAAATTTTGACAGAGGGAAGGATTAAACATATAGGGATGTTCAGACACATAAAATAATTTTTTTGTCACATAACTTTCAGCAAAATTTTGAAGTTTAGATTTTGTTTTTGAAGAGCATTTTAAAAATGAAAATCAGTTGAATATGAATATGATGTTCAAATAATTGAAGATTATGCTACATGGACAGATAGTTATTTTCTCAAGCAGTAATACGAATATTGAAATTAAACTTCATTCTTTTTTTTTTAATTTTCTGCTCATTAAAATTCAATATATTTAAAAATTAAAACTTTACAATAAGTTAGATTTTTCTTTGTTGTTTATGAAATGTATGTTTTATCCTTTGTGAAAAATGATCTAAACGAAGAGTTAAACACCTTCAATAGATCATAATAGATATTACAATGAAAACTAGAAACGACTCATCATAAGACATGACTAAAGATGTAAACCGACACATTGATCTATGACAATGACTGAAATTTTTCGATCAGTCTTCTAAAAATTTGCGTAACTTAGAGATATTTTCCAATGAAAAAGAGAGAAAATGATTGACAAGAAATCAAACGATAACATCTCTAAAAAACTGTTGTGAAACATTAGAAATTTTTCAAAAAATCAAATGTCTATTTCTGTGTCATAAGGACAACGGCTCACCCGATCAGAATACATCTCTAAACATGACAAATATCTTAACAAAACTCGTTCTTCCACGTCATAAATTGCGACAGACATTATTGATATACGATCCGTGATCGTAAATCAATAATATTTTATTATTATACATGAACTATTTCTTTATTGCATTTCTGAAGCATTAAGTAAGTGGATGATGAAGAAATGTGTCTCAAAATAGATTGAATAAAACAATGGGGCTATAATTAAGTAACAACAATTATATCGGATGTGACATTTTAATTCCACAAGGATTGTCCTAATTCTTTTTTTATACTTATTTCAATTTCCGATATATGTCGTGATTGCTATTTAAAGAAAAAGAAGTAGTATATTTGAACAAATAGGGTATTTCTAGAAAGTTGCTTTTTTTAATATTGGATCTTTATAGGAGAGAAGATGAAAAAATGCGCTTTTTTCTCTGAACATCTCTAAAAGAGAAAAAGAAAATAATAGATTACTATAAATAATATATGAGAAATAGATGATATTCAGTGATTCCTAAAAAATTAAAATCTACATTTTTTGAAAAGAAAGTTAAGGTCATGTATGATTTCTTTTTATAAATATTTATAAAACAAAGAAATTTGTTAAGATTCTGTCATATCTGATTATTCTTAGGGATCCGTACGTTCAGTTTACTGATTACCAATTCAGTGTAGTTAGTGCACACTAATTACAAGGTCACATTGACATCAGTGTTCACTAAAGCACTAGAATGCATCATTAGAAAAATGGCATCTTTTGAAAGAGTTAGTGTTGTTTCAAGGTTACAGCGAAAGTGGATATCAATGTAATCTATCCATTAGTGACCTCACTGACAGTGTTTTAGTAAACACTGTATCAGTAACACTAATGTTAGTATTTACATAGACACTATACATCCCTAGCTAATTGATTTACTTCTCCATATTTTTCTTCGTGTGATTGAAATTTTTTTGTTTTTTGTATTTACTGAATAGATCATGTAGGTTAACTTTAATTTTCTATCTTAGATAAAATATAATTTATATTTTTATATAAAAAATTATTAGAATTCTAATGAGTTTATCAATAAAACATTATGTATTAGTCTTATATACAAACAACTATGTTTACTCTCTCTCTCTCTGTCTGTCTATTTGTTTTTTTTTTGTTATTTCCTGTTTCTTTGAAGAGAACTTCTTTGTTTTTACCGCTGAGCGTATACAACAAAGAGAAAAAAAGAAAAACACAAAAAAATAATTTCTATCATAGTATGATTGTAAGTATAACATATGCTTTATTTAGCAAAGATTATCAAAATCTTGCCCTGTCAAAGCTTTTATTTATAGATTAAGTAATTATTGTATATGAGTTCTATCAATGAATAATTTATTTGAATGAATTTTGTATAATTAATCAAATAACAAGACTTACAGAAAAAAATATATGCGTAATACTGTAAACTTTAAACTGGTTATATTCTTACAGTAATTGTTAAAG